TCACATATTTAGTACTTAGGGGCTTAAACAGTTTTGGTTCGATTTAGACAATTTTTGGCCACAAGGTGGCATACTTTAATTGCATTATTCACTCAAAGTTTTATCCCGATACAGTCATTGTTGCCTGATTTGCATAGTGGAAAGTGAAATAATCAGATGGAATTTAAAATGGTGTTATATGGAAAGTAGGCGTGGTTGTAGTCCGATTTCGCCCATTTTTGCACTGTGACATAGAAACATGAAAAGAACGTTATGCACCGAATTTGGTTGAAATCGGTTAAGCAGATCTCAAGATATGGGTTTTCACCTAAAAGTGGCTGTGCCACGCCCACTGTCTAATTTTGAACGCGGTTCCTATAAAGTCATCTCATACCATCCCAGAGATAAAATTTAATGACTCTGGCGTGTTTAGTGCTTGATTTATCGCGCTTTTAGTAGTTTTTAACAGTACGTTGTATGGGAGTGGCTGAGTTGCCCTCCGATTTCAAACTATTTTCACACCGTCAATAGAAGTGCTAAAAATATTTGCTTCTAGTGAATTTTGTTATTATAGCATTAGCGGTTTAGAGATATAGCACATTAAACCTATTAGAGGCGGACCACGCCACTTTTTAAAAATTTTAACTGCAGATGCCCCTCCCTAATGTGATCCTGTGTACCAAATAACAGTCTTGTATCTTATTGCGGAGCTTAGTTATGGCAAGTTATTTGTTTTTGATTAATGGCGTTTTGTGGGCGTGGCAGTGGTCCGATTACGCCCATCTGCAATACCAACCGTCTCGCTGTACCGTGAAACATGTCTACCAAGTTTCATAAAGATATCTCAATTTTTACTCAAGTTAGAGCTTGCACGGACGGACGGACAGACGGACAGACGGACGGACGGACAGACAGTCACCCGGATTTCAACTCGTCTCTTCATCCTGATCATTTATATATATATAACCCTATATCTAACTCGATTAGTTTTAGGTGATACAAACAACCGTTAGGTGAACAAAACTATTATACTCTGTAGCAACAGGTTGCGAGAGTATAAAAAAATGCGCGCTCGAGGTCAGCTATATAGTCACTTAAAACTTCGGTTGTCAAGATTTCACGAACTACTAAACCGATCTTAATGAATTTTTGCATAGGTCTTCGAAATATAGTTTACCAGGTCTTAAATGAAGGATTTTCGTTTTGCTCATCTACAAGTATTTAAAAATAAAAACTTCGAGAAATTATCACCAAAATTTGAAACTTTTTGTAAAAACTGTCTGCCAACAATACAATTTTCACCTTTTTTTAGTTTTTCCTTAGTTCAAAATCTAGTTTATGGTCTTGAATAAAACACGTACTTTTTTCATTTCACTTTTGCTAATCTTGTAAGAAGTTAGTTCTGCTGTCAACGCGAAAGCGGATTTTTCCAAAGGCCTGTCGGAAATGACGTCGTAATGGCCGAGTTTTAAATATTTTGCTTTGAAAATTTTACAAAATTTTTACAAAATATGTATCTTTGGAATAATAATTAATAAATTTTGCATAAACTATATTCTGTTTTTATATAAAAAAAAAATATAAATGTATTGAAAATAGGCTGGAGCCATGCAACTCCTTATGCTGATTGAAATAAGACACTATAGAAGGTTGTAACTCATGCGCGAGAAATATAATATTATGGTAGGATATTTTTAAAGGTATAATATATAATATACACATAACTTAAAATCCACTTGAGCTAACTTAGTTCAACTTAACGACAATATTAAATTTTAATCGAAATCAAACCTTATCACACTCGCGTCAAATTTTAATATCGATAGACCAAACTATCGATAAATATCTCAACAGTGGCAGGATAAAGCTTTTACTTTATATAATATATTATACTTTGTATAATTATCTTCGGAAAAGCGAAAGTAATCTCTTACCATTGTTGGTTTAAACCGAAATCGTAAACGCAGGCATCTTCAATGTCACAATATACTCCTATATGTATATTCCCCTGCTCTAAATAATTGCAAAAATAAGGTTTCGTAGCATCCATCAGCAATGCATCCTCCATTTCGGCGCCAACCCTATTTAATTCTACGCGAAATATGTACCTATACGAGCCTTTTGGGATTTATAGAACACCTAAAGGTGTAGTTGTCAATCAAGCTGTCAAAATCAAACACATGGGTTTGACATTTGAGTATATTTTGACAAATTACTGGTTTTCTGTCAAATCATCTTCAGCCATTGAGATACTTTTCTGTGTTAATAAGCAACATTTTAAGTAAAACTGACATATTTGGACAGCGAACAACCTGAAGACACTCTTCAGACCACTTTGCAAATAGGAAAAGTGAACATCTAATTTAGTTTGCATGCCGAAGGTACTTTTAGTTCGGTATATGTTTTTTAACTAAAGACGGCAGCAATATTACCGTCATTCGTCAAAGACTAAATAATTAGTCTAAAAGCAGAAAAACTAGCATATTATAACTTAAATGGTACGCATTATATAGAAAAAGGCATATTATCATATTTGGATTTCTAACGAATTTGATTTCGTTGAAATGCTTCTTTTATGGGTATCACAAGTCAATAGGTTAAAGAAACCCCCTTAAAAAAATATACCATATACAGTGAAACCTTGATATAACGAACCGCAATATAACGAATTTTTTAAAATCCCCTAGCACTGCCCATAAAAGCTCATGTAAAATATACCTTTTAGTATTACGAATATTTTTTTTTTTGTTATCAACCTCACTATAACGAATTTTTAGACTCAAAAAAAAATATAGATCGAAACTATTTTTGACCTTTACTTAACACATTTTTTGATACACAACCTTCATATAACGAATGACTGCTTTTCTCGTCAGCTGTTTGACTGTAGTCAAAAACATCCCCCCCTTAGTTAATCGCTTTTTGACTATAGTTTGCTCACTCCCTCCACTAGCTGGCAAAAGCTGATGATTTGATTGGCTCGCAGCTACTTGCGACTTTGCCAAGAAGCTGAGGATGCAAAGCTCAAATTTTCAATTCCTCTTTCGCTGCAACTACGATCACTACCTACAATCTTCTGTAAAACAGTTTTTTTAAAAACTAATTGTAAACTTCGTTCTTTGATCCAGTAAATTCAGTTGCAATGGCTGAAAAACGTAAAAGGTGTTCGTTAAGTATTGCAGAAAAACGAAAAATAATCAAGTTTGTAGACGAAAATCCTTTAGTAAAAATTATAGAGATTGCCAGGAAGTTTGACATTCCAACAAGTACATTAGCTACAATTTTGAAATCAAAAGAAAGATTGGCTGAAGAAAGCGGGCTACCTGCGAATAGTAAAAGATTAAAATTGTGCGAGTATATGTTCAATTTAACCTCAATATAAGAAACCTCACTGTAACGAATAACTCGATATAACGTAGTTCCTTTCAGATTCGCTATATCAAGGTTACACTGTATAAGGCAATATATGAGGGCCTTCATGTATCTTCAAGTACCAAATACCGTAAGACTTTCGGATTTAATAGCGCAAAATATTGATAATTTTTATATTTTTGGTGTATGTTTAATGGGAAACAGAAGTACAATAATTCTAAACAACCACCCACAGCAAGACAATGGCAGCATTTACCTTCCCGCTACTCTATTTAATGTCTTTACTTTGCTAACGTAATCATTAAAAAGTTTCTTTCAATACAAAACGTGACACTACTCTTCGGTCGCTGTGACAATAAAATACGCAAACTTCAAGGGAAATCCCAATCAAATATCAATTTTAATCAGCTTTAAAATATTTTAAAATTTCATTTTCCAAATTACCAAAAGGTTTTCATTATAAAATCATAAATTTTGCGGTTGCCATTTGCGTATTACAAATGTCATTCAAATGAATTGGCGGCGACACTTCGCTACAGGCCTAATTACATACAAACACGTACCGTTAAACGCGTCAAAAATTTGAATATTTTAAGAAGTGAAGTGACTGAAAATTGTCAAAATTCTTGGCGTTTCCTTTGCGGTTGGCTGCCTGATAAAATTCTATATAGTTATATTCCATGCACATAGCATGAGTATTTATCTACATTAGGGTGTCTGTTAAATCTTAAGTTGATTTTTTTACTTTGAGCAGGGTTAGGTTTGCCACGAACTTTGCAACACCGGAAACGCGAACTAGTCCTTCAGTTCTGGAGATATCGAACAGAAATTTTGCACACATCCTTTTCACTCCAAGAAGCTGCTCGTTTGTCGGAATCGACCACTATAGCATATAGCTGCTATACAAACTGAACGATCGGAATTAAGTCCTTGTATGGAAAACTGGTTTATTTAATTAGCTAACTTCACGAAATTTGACATGGATTACTATTCAAAACAACGGCACAATCTCCAAAGAAAATGTTCAGATCGCATAGCATATAACTGCTATACAAACTGGCCGATCAAAATCAATTCTTTCGAGGAATCTTTTGTATTTGTGAAGGGTATCGGTATAGGTGCAACGAAGTTTCACTGTTTGTTCTTAAAAATATTTTTTTATCACAAGTAAATAAAGTTTCTATCTTGAAAATATAATCTAATACAAAATTTTCCACACTATAAATATTTTTTCAAAAAAACATTCATTTAAAAGTTATGCAACAAATGTACTAAGCAGTCATACAAATGCCTTATAAATTATGTGTTGCTCATACGACATGGTGTACCGTATGCATACTTAGTTACCGAATTACTGACTCTCAGTGTATTTGCGCATAGCTGGTAAAGCAGTAGTTGATTATTATTTTTTCAAGATTGTAGGTTAATTTGTTTGCAACAAAAACAACTTGGGAAATAACGAACACCCTAATGTATGTATGTACATATGCAGATACCCTTTATATTATGTAAGCTGTATGAATCTACTGATTGTTTGTTGTTGCAATACAACTTTTAAGCTACTTATACTTTGATAAAGGTGTGTATATATGAAACTTTTTGTTGTTGTTGTTGTATAGCCACCTCGGCTATAACAAAGATTTACTTACCGCTTTGTATAAACTTTCGCCGTCAAGTAAAAGTTTATTTTTAAGGCAGCAGTGTTGTGTTTGTTGTTGCACAATAAATGCTGCTCTTTGGAAATGATGGCTGTATATGTGTGTGTGTGCATAGGTGAGTGACTGTAGGTGGCTTTGTGCGCATTCGTACTTGTTGCGAACAAGTTCGGTTGACTGCTTGCGCGCATTTGTATGAAAACACACAAACACACCAGCACAGTTGCTTATACACATACACACGTATATCACTATTGTGACTTCGTTTGCCTTTGTTGGCATGTGGTGGTGATTCCGAAGCGCCGCTGGCACATTTCACTGAGTTGGAAGATAATTTACGCGCCTGAGAGGAGAGAAAATAATAATAATAATAATATGAGGATGACACAAAAGCATAAGCAGCAGACGATATAATAAAGGGGCACTGTAAAGCATGTGGCGGAGATGTATGAATTAATATGAAATTGACACGCACACAAACATATATACTTCAAAAAAATGTCTGTCCGCGTTCGTAGATAGAAATATTTTAGCGACACATTAACCAACTATTTCCTTTCGAGCATTAGAAATGGCGTTTAACTACCAACTGACGTCATTGTTGTTGACGGTAATTACATTAATTTCAATCGTCAGAAGATTTCATATGTTGAAATATGACAACTCTTAAGGACACGAACTCGACTGATGTGCATGTTGGTCCTTTAGGAAAGACAAATATCTCTGAAGTGGTAAAATTCCCATTCGATAGATATTGAACCCGGTAAATTCAGAAATTCGGTTTTTTTTATTTAATGCAATGGAACTTTTTATCTATCGCTTTAAATTGTTTCCACCATTTGCGGCATGTCGCATTACAGCTCTACATATACTTGTAAATACGTAGATTTCCTTTTATATTTCGTGATTTGGCAACCTTATTGTTGTAATCGGGCAACTAACAACTTTGTTGTAAGGTTTGACATTTGTGATGTTATACATACTCACAACGTTTTGGCATACAAGCGCTATTTGTGTTGTTTACAGTAACTTAAAATATTCATCTCGGCCAAAAATGGAAGAAAATGCTGATTATTTTTTACAACTTTGGAGTTTTAGCGATGAACTGAATTCAATTTTTGACGATGAAGCGCCATCAAAGTTCAGTTCATATGGTGAATTTAGACAAATTACGCGGATTAGTCCTAAAATAAGCAGGAAAAACTAGACATGTCGCAAGCATAGGATCAGAACGCCACTGAAACAACTGCATATTTGAGCATCAAAACATCGATTTGTTTAGTCTTCTACCATATGGTCCTGACTTAGCACCGTATGACTTCTTTTTGATCCCGTACATAAAAAATAAACTAAGAGGTTAATGTTTTTCGACAACTGAAAAGGCGCGATTCAGAACGCATGTTTTGGAGAGACCTCAATTAGTGTGGCAAAACTACTTCGACAATTGGTTCAAACGCGTTCAAAAGTGTATAGATCTTAATGGAGAATATTTTGAAGAACAATAAAACGATTTTCGATTATTATAATTTGTTTTTGCTCTCAAATCACAAAATATTTAAGGCAAAACCACATTCAAAACCACAATCGAAACTCCATTGTAGCATAATCTGGGTCGAGCTTTATTACCAAACACCACAGAGCTTAAAAAAATACAGTCACTAGGTAAACAATCTCAGTTTATGTTCTCCAAAGATCGGTTTTGAGCAAATCTGGAAGTATTTTGGATGGTTCTTTATTCTTCCTAAAACGCTTTTGAAATAGTAGAACCTTTTGAAATTACAATAAAATCAAAATGTATTCTTCCAAATGACGAAGAATATTAGCAAACCATCTACTTGGACTTAAAAGGCAAATCTTTACTACGCAAATGCCATCACTTTTCACACCACCTCACCCAACCAAAACCAATTAGAAAATTTTATTCATCGACAAAGAAATTTCCATTCAAGGACGTCACATTTCCGAAATTAAATGAGCGCAAACGAAAATACTTCCATTTCGACACGATTGCACTTTAAAGAGGATGAAAGAGTATTTAGCGTGACAAAATAGTCTGCTACGCTTGGCTACCGCTGAGCGTGACTTAGTTGACACAGACGCAGAAGAAAACGTAGAAAAAGTAGTAAAACCTGAGAGTTATAGAAGCAAATTGTGAAAGTAGGTATTGAAGGAGAGTGAGGGTAAAAGGCAGACTACTTGCTCCTACATTCTCTATGATGCTGGTTAGATATGAACGTGATGAGAAAAGCAAAAGAATAAGTTGAATTTCGCAGTCGACGAAATCGTGCAAATTTGTTGCTCAACTAATTTCAGGAACCCCTGGAAATGGGAAATGAACTTCAAAGGGTAAGAGCACGCAGCGTTCATTATGCAACTTGAATACTTAGTGTGATGATTTTCTGCTTGATTTTTGTTAATTTGTAGATTGTGGAATTGTGAAATTGTGCAAGAATATTAATGGTGAAAAAACAGATATATATATATATATATTATATAAATTTGTCAAACTTAATTTTTGTAATAACACATTCACTTTAACCATAAAGTAAATGATTTTCTATTTGTTTCAAATTGTAAGCAAAGTATATTAAAGTTCTAGCCTATAAAATGTAGTAATAATGAAATTCGCATCACAATGGTCAGAATAACGACACAAATTGATTTCTGGATGTCTCTATGTTCGTCCGTGTCTGTCCGTGTACCACTAACTTTAGAAAAAATTGAGATATTCTGATAAAACTTGGTACATATGAACTCCCCATTGCCCAAATATTTTTGGGTATTTAACAAAAAAATATAATATAGATATAGTTTTGAGAACTAGGAGGAAGAAGCGAACAGTACCTTTTAAAAGTCTCATTCACCTTTAGCATAAGTTTAAAATGCACAAAACCAAGATTAGCGAAGGTGACAACATCAAGAATAATACTGCAAGTGGCACCCACTCAAGAGTTAATCCACTTACAGCTTCGGCTGTGGCAGGGGCACGGATTTTGGTGGCCCAACCCCGTTCGCAGATGAACAAAAAAGTTCGCCAATCGCCATTTCCACAAGAGATGAGAACCCTGTCCGAAGGACTAGCAAACACTCCGGGGCTGCTATAGGGGCAGCGCGCAAACAGCGGATACTGGTTGCTGGACCCAGCCCAGTGACAGGTAAACGACTCCGAACACTCGAGGTTGCTTAATGCTCAAAGAGAGCGAAGCATCACACCTCTTGCAAAGGAACGAGACAGTAATGGACTACTAGTTTCAGGACCGGAAAGTCTTACGCGGAGACGACCGAAAATATTCGACACTGATAAAACAGGAAGGAGCATGTCGGCGGAGCAACAGACCTATTTGAAGCGGCGTTCAACCTAATGACCTAATCCTGTCTTCGACGTCGAACAGCACTGTTTTCCAAATGGTAATGGTTCGCGTCGATAGAGTAAACGTCCGGTTGGCCAGCACCTCCGTGGAAGTCGATGCAGCCATCCGCTCCATGGTGATGACTCTGCCGGAGCTATAGGAGAACTTGACGAGAAGTTCCCTAGACTCCTAAAGTTTGACATCTTCGTTATGAGTAAGGTGGTTGTAATGTCCATGGAGTCGATACGGTGATAGCCAAACAAAACACGTAATTGAGGACCAGTCTAGGTGAGGTATTCCATTGTGGCAGCACTCTAGAAAGTGATGATATAGTTATGGGACCTAAGTGGTACGGCTCTCCTGTTATTCTCCAACATCCAGTTCAGGGTCGGTCACCGCAGGATGCGACGACACCTCCTCTGAAGTGTTGCCCACCTGACATTGCCAATTCCGGACGAGGAGGCAGGTGAAACCGCTCTAGGACAAGACATCTACCGGAGAACACCCGGGAGCTTTCATATAATATATTGTATTCCCTTGACATAATTATGTCAGAGTTTGAAAATAGGCTAAATGGGACAACAAAAACACCAGAAGAAACCTCGAAGACCCTATAAAGTTTCATATATATATAAGAAGCTGCTCATTTGTCGAATTCGCCGATATCGGACCAGTATAGCATATAGCTGTAATACAAACTAACCGATCAAAATCGAGATAAAGATATTTTTATAACCGTTTATGCTATAATAAACGCACTTGGGAAGGGTACTAAGGGATCAAGCATGAATAAATATATATAACTATACAAATAGAGCATGCAGTAGGTATAAAATTTATATAAAAATGATTAAAAAATAGCCGCCTCATACAAAATATGCGAAGCTGCTATCGATAAAATCAATCATCTTGGAACACAGCCTAGCACATTAAGTGAGCATCTTTTTATGACAATATTGTTTCTAGTACAGAGAATGGGTATATTTAGCCGAATACTTCTCCTAGCCTCTATATACCTATAAATTAACATTATACTGAATATATTGATAAATGTTATATTTATAAAATTACAATATTTTCTTGAGTATACCTCAGTTATATACCACAAGCTTGCATTAAAAATTTATTAAAATTAGTCTAGCCTACATCTCTAGTTCACTTAATGTTATTTATATCAGTTAATATAAGTTCTAGTAAAACGATATCTCTTATTTTCCACTAGATGTCTTTGGTAATATGTATCACGCGTTGTATAAGTGCATTCGGAATAAGCGCCAAGACATTGGAAAGATAAGATATCGTACTAAAATAGCTTCTCAGACAGTTTTGTGAATGCTTGATTCAGTATTTTTTGAGCACGCGTCAAAGATGGTAACGAGCAAAGAGAAGGTACGCCATATTTAACAGGTGTTTTTCAATAAAGGCGAAAAAGCAAGCTAGACAGCTGAAAAAGTGAATGACGTTTATGATCTTGATACTGTAACAGTTAATCAGAGACAATTTTGGTTTCGTCGATTCCGTTCCGGTAATTTCGATGCCAAAGAGGCAGTACGCTTTGAAAGCTGTAATATTAGTACGAAAAGAATTCCATATAAAGAACTTATAAAGATGGGTTGAATAGTTATTTCAATGCCTTGTCAAGCTGAGAGTAGGAAAAAGTATTATCAAACAAATGTGGCTTTACACAGGAAAGACCGTATACAATATACAATATAATAAACTAACTGTGTAAACCTACCGGAAAACGAACGTACAAAAATTTTAAAAATTTTTAACAATTACTGTTAATATATTATATTCGACGCTATGTCACGACTGATTTTCAGTTTTCACTTAAATTTGTCTTAATTAAATTAACTTAATGATTTTATGGTTTGCAGAAACCGCACAAAATCCGCTGAGAAGGTGTTGCGTGACACTTGGGAAATGTTGCGGCTTTCACGGTATGTACACGCACGCACCTGTGTGAAATTAATATATACATATGTAGGTA